AGGAAAAAAAAACCTCCAGAAGATTCATAGACTAATATTGTGCAAACTCCAAATGCACGCACACTTACAAGTCTGTATTTTTTAAAGGACAGATTATTTCATTTATATGAGGTACCTAGAATAGTCACATTCATTAGGGACAGAAAAGTAGAAAGGTGGTCACCAGAGACTGGGGGCAAGCAGATGGGGAGTTAGTATTTAATGAGTATGAGTAGAGTTCATCATAAGGACTTGCATGAAAAAAATGGGTATGGGAGTTTCAGTTTGGGAAGATTAGAAGTTCTGGGGATGATGGTGGTGATCGCTGCTCTGTTGTGTGAAGGTACTTAATGCCACTGAACCGTGTACTTAAAAATGGTTAAAATCAGGCCGGGCGCGGTGGCTCAAGCCTGTAATCCCAGCACTTTGGGAGGCCGAGGTGGGTGGATCACAAGGTCAAGAGATCGAGACCATCCCGGTCAACATGGTGAAACCCCATCTCTACTAAAAATACAAAAAAAAAATTAGCTGGGCATGGTGGCGCACGCCTGTAGTCCCAGCTACTCGGGAGGCTGAGGCAGGAGAATTGCCTGAACCCAGGAGGCGGAGGTTGCGGTGAGCCGAGATCGCGCCATTGCACTCCAGCTTGGGTAACAAGAGTGAAACTCCGTCTCAAAAAAAAAAAAAAATGGTTAAAATCATAAGTTTTAGGTTATGTACGTTTTACTGTAATAATAAACAAATATATCTAGAAAGACATGCGGTAGAGAATCCCCGTAAAGGTGTGGGGGGATGGAGGAAAGGAAATAGGGACCAGGGATGAAGGGGACAATGAAAAAAGACCCTCCTGAGGCTGGTGACCACAGTGTGTCCTGAGGGTGTGTGAACTCAGCTCTTAGCAGCTGAGAGGGCTCCGAGCTGCTGTGTGGTATTTTTTTTTAATTTCTATTTTTTTGAGATGAAGGCTCCCTTTGTCACCCAGGCTGCAGTGTAGTGGCGTGGTCACGGCTCATTGCAACCTCTGCCTCTGGGGTTCAAGTGATTCTCCTGCCTCAGTCCCCGAATAGCTGAGACTACAGGCACCCACCACCACACCTGGCTCAATTTTGGATTTTTAGTAGAGATGGGGTTTCACCATGTTGGCCAGGCTGGTCTCGAACTCCTGACCTCAGGCGATCTGCCCGCCTCAGCCTCCCAAAGTGCTGGGATTACAGATATGAGCCACCTCGCCCGGCCCTATGCGGTATTTTTCCTTAACTTGGCTCTTTTAAAGAGCTTAAGTAGATTTGTCAAAAATGCAAAGTTTTTATTAATAGAGCAAATGGAAACCTAACTCGGCTTTCCTGGTATAGGTGCCACCCCCGTTCCTAATCCACCTTGAAATATTCCTCATTTTAACTGCTGATGGCAGTTTTCTGCATTGAAGTACTTATCTCTGCGTGTTGAAGGCTAATTCCTTAAATCCTCTCCACTCCTCCGTTGATTGCCTCCTCACACACTGCAGAGTAAACGCAGCTAATTTTGTCCTCCTTCCGCCATTTTGGTTTTGGTTTTGGGCAGTCTAAGCAAAGCAGTATCAAATATAGTCGTTCTGCTTTTTGATCGTGATTTTAAAAGACCCAAGCCATCATTTGAAGTCAGCAGTCTGTAAAAACAACAAGCCTTTTACACAGTATAAACACAGTGTTAGGTAAATAATGGGACTTTGGAATGAAGTCAGCGTGCGTGCATGGGAATGGGAGTGCAGGGCAGGAGCACTTGTTTTTCGGTGTTACCTGTTTGTCCTCTTACCATCCACGCCAGGCAGTGGAGGTAGAGCTTTCGTTCTGAAACGTATGGAATCCTGTGAATATTTGCTGTATTAGCATGCTGTATGAGTGCCAAGTTAATTGTACAGCTAGCGACTGTTATTATGCTGGTAATGTCAATCTTTCATGATTTAGAATAGACCAAAACATGTTAACTTTTTATAAATGTGCCTTTGAAGTCAATAAATCTGGCTTGGTTTAAGTTACAAGAAAAAACACAAATGAAAATGGAATGATTTTAAGCTCCGAGTCAGAGGCCTGCCCACTCTTAAGAAGAGGGACTAGCAAAGTAGAAAGGAGTTCAAGGTATGCTAGAGGCCCTCTTTCTCCTTGACGCTATTAGAAGGCTTGAAGGAGGTGGAAAAGCAAGTCATTTTCCTTCCGGATATCGGTGATGTATTTTACCGCCATGTCTGGACGTTGCCTGTAAATTGTCTCTTGTTCCACCTGTGATGAGCATCTCTCAGGGTAGAAAACACTGTTGTGGACACTGAGCCCCCAAGGTCAGGGGTAGGTTGAAGAACTTTGCTGGGGGAGGCCTCAGGGACAGGAGGTTGGGACCTGGCCTGTTGGGAAGAAGGCCCTAGGCTGCCCTGTGTGGAATGTTCCTTTGTGTTTAGTAGCCTTGGTCCTTCCAGACCTCCTGGACTCTGTGCTCTCCCTGCCTAGCAGCTTGGCGTGGTAGAATTTCCATGGGCTTCAGAGTCAGAGAAATCTGCCTAAAATTACTTCTTAGCACAGGACACCTGACCTTGTCAGTAGAATGGGTATAATGATACCCATCTCAGGAGGTGGTTGTGAGGATTAAGTGAGATAATGGGGACACGTCAGCCTCTCTCCCCATGCCTGGAACACAGTATGTGCACAATAATGGCACCTGTTATCACTCCAAACCTCTTCAGCTTAGGGTAGAAACAGATCACCCGCTCATCTTCCATGTGTTGACTTTTAGCCTCATGCTTGCAGGATGGCTGCTGAGACGTTGCATCTGCATTAACAGCAGGAAAAGGTAGAACACTCCATCTCTGTTCCTTTGATCCAAAACCAAAAGCTTCCCCAAAAATCCCCAGTGGATTTTTGGTCCAGCTGGCTAACCTCAGCTACCTGGCTGCCCATAGCTGCAAGGGAGGCTAGGAAAATGGGAAAGAGGTAGGATTGTTGTGAATTACCCCGTCATTTTTTTATCATGTTGTGGGATACTATTAGCAGGGAGGAAGAGGGCCACGGCTGATAGGACAACAGCCCTCAGCACCTGCCCCCTTGTGCTTGTCTCTTCCTGATGGTTTTCCTGTGCTTTGCCAGCCTATGCTATGATGTCAGGGCAGAAGGGAGGAAGGACCCTGGGGCTGGATTAATTTTACAAAGAAGGGTAGGTAGAGAATGGAAGCTTCTAGAAGCAAAATCCAGAATCCCTTCTCCCCACCCCCCCAGTGTTTGCATGCTGTTTACTCTTTAGAAAACATTCGTCATCCTGTTCTTTAAAACAATAAACTCATCCTCTATTTTTAAGCTTTCTTCTGGGAAGTTTCCCTGAATCCCCCTTTCCTAGAGGAGACTGTGTTTGGTGCCACCAGAAAGGGAGAAAAGGAATAAAGTGTAAATTCAAGGGAGATGAGGTGGGGAGAGCAGGGAGGCTTCATGGAGGAGGTAGCTTATCCCCTTCTCTGTGCCAGGCCCCGGGTGAATGGACGATGGCAGACAGTATGACGAGCTGTCATCCAGACCCCCTAAAAACACCCCTGCCGAGTCCCAGCCTCTCCCCTGACCTGATACTGGACACAGGCTCAGGGCCAGATGGAAGTCTGCAGTCTGTCCCATGTGGAGACAGGGGCAACGAAAGTCATTGAAGCCTCATTGTCTAATCTCATGGGCCAGCTCTCTGCTTCTGTGTACTGAGTTTTGGAAGAAGCTAATCATCAAAAACCCGGAGATATTCATCCAGGTGGAGAAAAGGATTTGTAGTATCAGAGGGCTCCTCTCTGAGCAGGATGGTATTGGGTTGAGGTCATTATCTGGTCAGTGATGAGGCTGAGAGGCTGCCAGGAAAGGCCATTGTGGCCAGAGGTGTGACATGACAAAGGCCAGTTACAACTAAATGTCAAAAATGATGGTGATAAATGGATGGAAAACTAGATTTCTATTTACAAAAATCCCAATGAACAGTGACCATCCACAGTGCTCTATCGCATAAAAATGGTCCCTCCGGGTCGTGTGCAGGAACCAGCCTCACTTCTTTTAAGCTGCGAACTAAAGTGGCTTTAACACCATTTTTCTCACAGTGTGTTTATGCTGCAATCAAAGCAGCTCTGGGCGGGTTGGAGGCAGAGATGCATCTCCTGCCTGTTTGAACCCTGCTGCTGAGATTGCACAAAGAGGAGACAGGGCCCGCGGGGAGCCGGCTACTAGAACGAGGTGTCTCCTGAAGTTTCCTTCACCCTGAAGCTTCCTTCTGCTGTTGCCTCCTCCCTGCCTGCTGATTTCTTCCTGGGCCTGGAGAGACCCTGTCTGTAGGAGGCTTGCCTTTCTGGGTTGAAATTAACCTAGACCCAGAGCTGGGCTGCAGTATGAACTTTCACCGGTAGGTGGTGCATGAAGATGCCCTCCCGCCCTATGCTCTGTGAACGCAGATCGCTGACACCTTCCCTGGCGTCTCCATGTACCAGTGCCACACAGTTGCGACCTTTTCTGGTGACCTTATCACCGCCTATCTTTATTGTTTTTCCCATAGACGGTGAGCCTTGTCGGGGGTGGAGGGAGCCAGATGTTCTTCCTTCATTTTTCCACCATGCGCCACAGTGCTTGGCATAGGCTGAATGTTCAGGAACTGTGGGATGAGTAAAAGAATGAATGAATGCATGAATGAGAGAGGAGGGACGAAGGGAGACAAAGGGCCTTATCCTCCAGCATGAAGATTCATTAGGCTTGAGGTACACATTCTGTGAAATGAATCAGGTTTCAAGTAACAAGATGAGTTTCCTCATAACCAGGGCTACTTTTTCACAATGGCCCCAACCCTATCCTGGAAACTAGCCCTGTCCTGGAAACATGGTGATCCCAGCAGGCATCTAGGGTGCTGGTAACCTTCCAGCATGGGAGGGTGTGAAGGTCTCATTCACTGTTTCTGCAACCTGCAGTTCAGAGGCCACCAGCTTGCAGAGTCCCATTGGTTGCTTTCGAAATTGTCACAGCATTTCTTCCTTCCCTGTCTTTCAGAGTGAAACATCTTTCAACCTAATATCAGAAAAATGTGACATTCTATCCATTCTTCGGGACCATCCTGAAAACAGGATTTACCGGAGGAAAATCCAGGTGAGGCAGAGGTCAGGGAGAAGAACACCCTAAACTAAACAGGCTGGGCTTGGGAGCGTAAAGGCAATGCCTCTTTGAAGGCCAATAGTTGGGGCTGGGTTCCTGGGTGAATGCCAGGACTCCTAGGATCTTTTGATGTTGGGCATTTGCCTTAGCAAAAAAGGAATTTTCGTTTAAAAGTTTAGTACTATCCTAATGTTTTATTTATTCACCGAGACTTCATTACAACTCTGTGAGGTAAGTACTTTTATGACCCCCATTTTACAGCTGAGGAAACTGAGGCACAGAAATTAAGTGGTGGCCATGTAGCTCATGAGTGGCTAAGCTGGGAGCTAAGCTGGCTAAGCTCCAGGCAGCCAAGTCGCATAAAGCCACATTCATAACTGCTGTGCTGGAAGACCTCTTGGAGGGAAAGTTCACTCCAGTGGGGCTAAAGGGATTTGTGGGCGGGCTGTAGGGATGGCTCGTGGAGCACTCACTCATGGGTGGCAGGAGGAGGTGGGCGCCTGCTCCATCCCTCTGGCATCAGGCCGGGGCTGCTGTCTGCACTCTGCAGACCTCCTCTCGCTGTAGGACAGGCCCCACAGCCCCTTTCCTTCGAGTTCTTCTCAGACATGCAGCACCATTGCTGAGCCCCATTACTTATCCTCAGAGACTCTGATGGGTCCAGCTTGGGTCAGGTGTCCATCAGCAGCCAGGGGTAGTGGTGTGGGCATCATGTGGTTGGGACGCTGCTGCAGGGACACCTCCAGGGCAGGATCTGGGCTCTGCAGCCTGCTGAATCTCGTGTACCCCAGAGCCCTCCTGGAAGTTGAGCCAGGGGCTCCAGAGAGTGCCTGCCTGCCCGCTGCCAGATGCCCTCAGGTGGGCCCAAGTCAGCTCTGATCCTTCTCATGGCTATGGGGGGAAATAGGAACTCCCAGACCCCTTGAAAATCATCCTCTGCTGTCAAAAAGCTGCTTATAGTCCCATGAGGCAGGAAAGGGTATTCCAGGCCAGTTCAGAGGGACGCCTACTTATTGCTAGAGGCAGAGATGAAGCCCACCCTTCCTGCCCCTGCTCACACATGCAACCCCCACCCCTACTTCTGCCAGCTCCCAATCCTCAGTGCTGTTCCCCCAGGAAGTCTTCCCCAACTTTCAAAATCCAGTGCAATGCCAGTGCCCCATGGCACCCAGCCGGGCACTCCTTCTGTCCTCACACTGCCACTGTCTAATCATCCATCTTCTTTCCTGGGCTGTAGGCTGCCTGGAGTCAGGGACAGACACACAGGACAATGTGATGTATTTTTATCTCAGGGGGATGAACGAGGGTGGGAGGCTGATGGGGCGGCAGCCTGAAGAGAAGGAGCAGGCGTTTCCTGGGAGAGATGGGGGCATGTGGCCAGTCCCAGCGCCCAAACCACACAGAGCCGTTGCTGCTGCAAATGCCCACATTTCTTTCTGTCCCCTCAGGAACTCAGCAAAAGGTTCACCGCCATCCGCAAGACCAAAGGGGATGGGAACTGCTTCTACAGGGCCCTGGGCTATTCCTACCTGGAATCCCTGCTGGGGAAGAGCAGGGAGATCTTCAAGTGAGTGCCGGGGCCCCCTGGGCTCTCAGGCTGTGTTCCCTGTGCTGGGTTAGCCCCAAGTCTCTTGGAGGTTCCCAGAGAGTGAGCTGAAGGGCTGCCTGGCAGAGGCGTTTGATGTTGGGGGCGCCCAGCTGCCCGCTGTGGTGGAGGTGGGGGCGGCCAAGGGCAGAGGATGGAATCTGTGACCTTCCAGGCACTTTCCAGCCTTCTGTTTCAGCCACTGGCCTGGGTCAGTCCAGGTGAGTTACACAGAACAGGTACTTTGTGACCCACTCTGAAAAGAAAAGAGAACACACACAAAAGAATCTTTGCCCCAGTGTTCTGCATAATTCCCGCTGACCTTGGTTTGGAGTGTGTGTGACCCAGGCATTCAGCTGGCCAGGCCTGGCCCTGAGGTTCATGCTGGCGAAGGTCTGTGTCCAGAGCGGCCCCTATCCTCTCGGCTAGTTCAGGGCTTCTCACACCTGAATGTTTGTACAAAGCCCCTGATTCTCTAGTCCATAGCAAGAAAAAGAAACAAAGATGAACAAGGCCTGAGACCTGGCCAGGACCGAATTCCTGCTCAGTGGGAGTGGGCAGAGCTGGGACTGCTTTTCTCAGCGGCTCCCAGGAGATACTGATGCTGCTGGGGAGCACAGAGCTAAGGAACCCACCCGGCTCTTAACCTTGGGGGGTCTCACAGCCCTTAGAGGCTTTGGTGAGAGCCACGGGCTCTCCTTGTCTGAGACCCGCACCCACATGCACTCTGGAAACAGTACAGGGGCAGTGGGTCACAGAGCACTTCTTTGGCTAAGGCAGGTTTCTCAACAGCAGCACGACTGATGTTTTGGGACAGATCATGCTCATCGTGGGGGCGGTCCTATGTGTTGTAGCCATCCTTGGCCCCCACCCACGAGATCCCAGTAGTAATGCCCTCCCCAAGTCATGACGGCCTAGACTCTCTCCAGACACTACCAAGAATCTCCTTTCGGGGGAAATAGTCGACGCTATGAGGTTGAGAACTGCTAGGTTAAGGCCGTCATCTCCTGTTCAAAATACGCATGATCTCAAAGAGGGCAGAAGCTGACCCACCTGTTCCTTGACTGAACCTTTCAGGTGGTTTCCCCAGCGACAGACTGGCAGAGCCCCTTTTGATGGAGAGTCAGCTATTTCAAGCCATTCCCCTTCCCAACTTTCTCACAGCCCTGTGGGAACCAACACAGCACAGTGCAGGGATTATGACCCCACCTTTATTTTCCCCTTCACCCGTGTCCCCTGGAGTTGTGCCATGCAGCAGCCCGGGGCTCTGAGGTCAGACCTCACTCTCTTGCTTACTTGCTATGCGACCTTGGGCAAGTGACTTGACCTCTCTGACACTCAGTTTTCATGCCTGTGGAAGGTGGACATGATAACCCACTTCAAGGTGCTGTTGTGAGGACTCAGTGGGCGATGCTGGCCAAGCCCGGCCTCTGCATCTCTCTCTGCGCCAGCCCACATGCTCTGTTCACCTTCACTCCATCCTGTCTTCCCACTCCAGTCAGCACACACAGGGTGCCATGCTCAGACCCTGCTCTAGGCTGTGGGATACTGCAGTGAACAAGAGAGACGAAAATCCCTGCCTCGTGGGGCTTGTGTCCTAATGGGAGAAGATGGATGGTACATGAGTGTCATGTTTGAGGTGTCAGACGGTGATATATATTATGGGAAAAATCAGGCAGGAAAGAGGCCGAGAGTGCAAGGTCTGGGGTTGGCATCTTCAAGTAGAGTTGGAGAGGTAAGGGCAGCAGGGTACACAGGGCCAGGCCTTTCTAAGGACCTTGGCTTTCAGCCTGAAGGACATGGGAGCCACTGAGGGATTGCACAGTGTGGGGGACCGGCCCTGCTGGCTGCTTGGGGGCTGGGACACAGCCAGGGGGATGTGGCCAGGGAGAGATCCAGAGGGGAGATGGCTATGGCATGAGCAGGTGCATGCAGCGGGCATAGCAAGAAGTGGCCAGGTCTAGATACCCGTGGAGGTGGCGAAGACAGGATTTGTGCCCAACTCGCATGTTGGACATGGCAGAGTCGAGGATGACTCCCAGGGGTTTGGCCTGAGAGTGAGCAGGATGGAGAAGCTGTTTGCTGCAAGGGAGGGCAGAGGAGGATCAGGAGCTCTGTTTTGGCGATGCTAAGTCTGAAATGTCTGGGAGCCATGGAGTGGGGGCGTCTGGTGGGCAGTGGATGTCTGAGGCTGGCACTCAGTGGGCAGGCTGGGGCACATAGGTGATAAGTCAAACCGCAAGGCTCTATGAGACCATCGGCACTTTTTCATGTTTTTAAAAACATTTTCTTTCTCTCTTTCTTTTTTCTTAAGAAATGGATCTTGCTTTGTTGCCTAGGCTGGCCTTGAACTCTTGGGCTCAGGCGGTCCTCCCTCCTTAGCCTGCATCTTCTTACACAAAAACAGAGACCATGTCACTCCCAGGCCTGAAATATGCCCCTGGCCTCTAGGAGCAGTGGAAGCCCCTGACACCAAGGCCCTGCACACAAGGCCCCTGCCCCTGCTGCCCCATTGCCTGCCCACCCTGAGTTCCAGGCACAAGGACCCACTTATCCTACACATACTAGAGCTTGCAGATGCCCGACATGCTGCATGACGCTGCTCTGGGCCCAGGTAGCCCTGCTTCTGACCCAGCTGTGGATTCCTCGGCCCCAGGCAGGTCGCTTCACTCCTCTGTAGCTCCTTTCCCTGGTTGAACGGTGGCCATAGCCCTGTCCTGGGCATTAAGTGATTGACTCGCGAGTACTTACAACACTGACCGACGTGTTCCGTGCTAGCTCTTACCGTCGGCGTCATGCATCCTCCACAACCCACCATCTCCGTGTGTGCAGTGAGCCCAGAGCCACCCAGGCAGACACCCGTTCTCTGCTCAGTGCTGCTGCAGGGCTGGGGCAAGTGTGTTGCAGCAGTATGCTTGCTTGCCCCAGCCCTGGAGCTCGCATCCTTGCTCCAGAAGTATGCAGAGTCTTCTGTGTGCCAGAGGCTTGGAGAACACGCTCTTCCTGAGGGGAGCCACTGTTATTACCCAGTCTTACAGATGAGCCAAAGGAGCCTCGTAGAGGTCAAATGACTTGGCAGAGGTCCCACATAGCCTTGTGTGTAGCCCTGGCCTGTCTGAACTTGCCCTCTGAGCCCCAGTGTCATCCTTCCCCTCATCCCTGCCTTGCCTCCCGAGGGTGCATGTCCTGGCCTGGGGGCTTGCCCCCTTCTGACAGGGCCCACGAGCTGCTTATCTCTGAGTCCCCAGTGCCTGGCACAGAGGGGCCCGCAAGTCACTGGCAAGGAATGAATGTGGAATGAGGCAGAGGTTCGGGGTGGGAGCGGGGACAGGACAGCTGAGAGCAGAGCAGTGCACTTCATGGCCATGCAGGGACAGAGTGACCAGAAGAGGGTGCGGGCCCTTGCAGCGACCCTGGTGGACTGCAGCTGGCTGCCTCCTGGAGCTGCTTCCAGTGCCCTGGCTATGGGCCACCTAGGCTGCTGCTGCTGAAGACAGAACAGGGGGTGATGATGAGGGTGGCTCCTGAGCGAGAGGCATCAGCCAGCACTGATCTTCAGATCCTTACCCTGGCCCAGAGGGGAAACCTAGGCAGGTCCCGCCACATTGGAGGCCTCGTCCTCTCGGGCAGCCCTCTGTTCACACTCAGCACCCCCGCAGTCGAGGCGTCATCGCCATCCACATTTGCGCCAAAGGGGAGCCTGTGGCCAGAAGCCACAGGGGGACTTGACAGGTCTGGAGGGGACTGCGGCTAGAAGCCAGCACAGGCTCCTTTCCTCCAGTTCAGGCACCTCAGCCTGCAATAGGACAATTAAGTCCTGGCCCAGGCAGGACTCAGGTATGCCGGGACCAGCCAGGGGCAGGTGGCCTCTAGGCAAAACACTCCTTCTGAATTAGGAGACCTGCTTCCTGTCCATACACACTACCTTCTCCTCCCTGCTCACCTCCCCTGTCCTCCTACAAGGCACCAGGCCTTCCAGGAGCACAGCAGCTTCTGAGGTGACCCAGGCCTCTGATTTCCTTGTGAAACCTCTGCCTCCTGGGTCCTGTCAGAGCCTGGTCCCCCTGCCCAGGGAATGGGTGCAGGGCTAGAGAACTAGGTGTGGCCTTAGTGTTCTGCGCCCGCCAGCCACTCACCTTGTCTTTGTGGGAGGCAGCCCTTCTTCCATACCTCATTGCTGCCACTAAACTTGGAGTGTCCTGAAGCCAGGGCCAGGCCTGGGTTTCTTGCCATGCCCCCCAAGGGCACCAGGACACGTCCCAGGAAGGGGCTGTGCCATGGGGGGGGCTGCAGTGGGTGCAGAGAGGAACCACTCAGCATGCACAGAGCAAGGACCTGTGGAGCAGATCCCCAAGGGGGACTCGGTGATGGCAGATGCTTGACAGCCAGCTCTGGGTGTGCGGGAGGCCTGGTATGTGTCGTCAGCTGATTGCTGTGGTGTCAGTATTCAATACTGTCATGACTGAGTCAAGCTGCCCTCATGAGGTCACTGAGTAGGAAGTTGCAGAAGTTCTAAGAAGATGCAGAAACACACGCACCCTAGTCCATATTGTCTTTCCACCATGCACACACAAAGCACCTCAGTCACCGGGGCCTGGCAGTGCGGGGTGATGTTCATGGGGCATGGCTGTGTGTCGGGGGTGGGGGGGGAAGTTCTGCGGTTGAGAGCTGAGGTTGGTAGGTGCAGTGGGTTGAGAGGGGGACGCACAGTTGCCAATCACAGCACACTCGCTGTTTCCCCGTAAGCACCCGGTCTAACCCCCTGCAGGTTCAAAGAACGTGTACTGCAGACTCCAAATGACCTTCTGGCTGCTGGCTTTGAGGAGCACAAGTTCAGAAACTTCTTTAATGCTGTGAGTTCACCTGGTCCCTCCTTCCATGTGTGGCAGAGCAGACAGGAATCGGCACTGGCTGGAGCCCCTGAACAACCCACAGCTCTGCTCCTCCTGGCTGGGGAAGGACAGAGGGCTGCTTCCTGCTTGTGGGGGGTGTGGAAACAGGGAGCCCAAGGCCCTGCCCTCCCTCTGGGAGAAGGCACGTCCTTCACCCTGTGCCATCTCCACCCTGTGCCTCTCCATCCAATTAGTGAAGGGGCGGGGATTGAGGACTCTCAGATCCTTGCCCAGTGTGCACCTGAGAATCCAAACCCAGGTAGTGATGGGGGGAGACCCAACTGCTGCTCCCTAGACGTGCCTCAGGGCTAGTGTACAAACTACCAAGTCTAGCTAACCCTGGGTTACTTAGCTTAGGCAGAATCTCAGACTGATTTTCCATCTCAACCTGAGAATCTACAAATGAAAATGCTCATGAGTGCTTTGCGGGGAGGGAGGACGCGGAGGGAGAGCGCGGATGGAGGGCCAGGGCTTGCTTGGGCCTCCCTGGCTGAGGGCCAGGTGGACGTAGTTTTACAGCGTGGTGGAACTGGTAGAGAAGGACGGCTCGATGTCCAGCCTGCTGAAGGTGTTCAACGACCAGAGCACCTCGGACCACATCGTCCAATTCCTGCGCCTGCTCACGTCAGCCTTCATCAAGAACCGAGCAGACTTCTTCCGGCACTTCATTGATGAGGAGATGGACATCAAAGACTTCTGCACTCATGTAGGTGCTTGGGGTCTCAGCCCCAACCCCGGGCTCTGCTCCTGGCCCTCTCCTGCAGACTTCAGCACCCCATCCCTAGCCAGAGGATCTGGCACTTCCCCTCCCTGTAGATTTCCCAACTGAAAAATAAGAGATTTGCATTGGCCTGTTGACAAAACCCCAGTCACAGTCTAAGAGTCACATTTGCTAGACGTGTTTATGATGCATGATATTTTAAAAGTGGGCAGTTTTCATATGAATGTTTGGATTTCTGTTGGAAAATCAGACGATCTAGCCCCCAAACCCTTGCTCTTGCAGGGCAGTGTCAGCCGGCACCACGCAGTATACCCTGCTTGCCTCTGCCTCCTCCGTTGTCTCTGCAGCACCGGGACTCGCTCACTCACTCACCAGCCTGGCCTCTGTAAACACTTCAGCTTTAAAGTCACCCCTCTATGACAGGGTGCCTTTTATGTCTAAGATTCTTTGGTGCCCAACCTGAAAAATTTCTGCCCCACCTTTCCAGATCCCTCTAAACTAGTGGCCTGCTCTCAGGTGTAACTACAAGGTCTAGAATTGAAAAGATCTAGGTTTGCTTCTTGCAATTGTGGCAATTTCTAACTGTCCTGCCTCTCAGTGAGGTTGTTTCCTGTGTGACATGAGACTATCCATACCCAACTCATGGGATGTTTTGAAGATGACGTCCCAGCAGAGGCTGTGACCATGACCCTGAGAGCCAGAGTTGAACACACTTGTCCTCTGCCAGGCCTCCCTCCTAAGCTGGCTTGTGTTTTCATTTTGGCCCCTGCAGGAAGTGGAGCCCATGGCCACGGAGTGTGACCACATCCAGATCACGGCGCTGTCCCAGGCCCTGAGCATCGCCCTGCAGGTGGAGTACGTGGACGAGATGGATACCGCCCTGAACCACCACGTGTTCCCTGAGGGCGCCACCCCTTCAGTTTACCTGCTCTATAAAACATCCCACTACAACATCCTTTACACAGCTGATAAACACTGATTAATTTTAGGCCATGCAGTGGAACCTGTCACCTAATGGGACTGCATTCTGAATGGAACATTCCGACTTTTCCATTTTTTAAGCGATTTAGACTGTAGCAAGACAATGTGCAGCCTTTTGGGCAAAGCCCCTGTGAATGAGGCCTACCCATTATGGACTGTGGTAACTTGGTGGCATTTTTAGTATTTCTTTTGATGAAGGATCAAATGCTTTCTAACTGGGCCCTTGGCTATGCACCCCAGTTCCCTGTGAGGCCTGGGTGAGTCACCTGCCCTCTCTGGACTTGTTTCTTCAACTGGAAGAGGTTCCTGCCTATGTAGACATTCCATTGTGGAAAAACGGGGCCTCTGGTTTCTCTTTACCAGGGGCAGTGCCTCTCTGCAGCGGAGGAAAAGCTCAAGGTTAGCTGTCTTAACTCGAGTGACTTACCAGGCCTGCAGAGTCCAGTCCAGTCACTTGTTGTCTCTGGCACATGGCCTGGTGAGGTCAACTTGAATGTGAGGGCTGTGATATGGCTTCAAACATTCATGATGGATGTGTTTTCCTATCCCTAACTTAAGGAGAAAAAAAAACCTTTTTTTACCAAAGTCCAGAAAGGGGTATTTAGCCTTCAGCAGGAGCTCAATTGTTGAGGCCCCTCTACCTCTCTCAGGGCCAGAACTGCCTGACTTCCGGTGGACAAGCCCTTCATGGTTCTGCTGTCAGCCCCACCTGGACAGAGGCTTACAAGACTAAGGTCTGGACCAGAATCTGTATATTTGTCTGCAGGAAGCTGCAGCTGTCCCATCATCCCCAGCAAATCCTAGGAGTCTGGATACTTCATGGGTAGGGACGTCAGCACGCACAGCCATGGACCCAACTGAGCAGAGCAGATGCTTTGCAGTCTGCCCTTGGCTTTTCTTTCTTTCCCACTTCTGCTCTTTTTATGGGCTGGTGAGAGGGTAGGTGGGAAAGAACGGACAAGCCATGTAAGTTGGCAGTGTGGAAGATTTCCACTGTGGAAACTGCCTGGGCATTCTGGCCAGCAGCTTCCTCATTTGGCAACCTGGCTGTGCCCCTTAAATAAGCCCCTCACCTTGCTGCCTCAGGACCTTCAAGATTCCGTCCGTGGGCTGGCAGGCAAGATGGCACCAGTGAGTACCCACACCCTGGCTGGGTGGAGGTGCTGCTAGCAACCTCTCTTCCTCTGTAGGAGGAAATGGAAAATGCAGGGTATGGAATTGCCCTATGGGGTCCTTCCTTAATCAAAGGCCACCTTCTCACAGGTTTCATTCTGCAGGGATTTACTGGAATCTATCGGTGCTGCTGCGTGAGTCTGCGGACAACCCGAGTGCACAAGGACTGGGTAGCAGACTCCTCAGAGTCCTTTTTTTTTTTTTTTTTTTTTTTTTTTTTTTTTT